TGTTCAAGCAAGCATTCGTGTGGACTTCTTGGTGATCAGCAATGTCTGTGATGGTACGTCGGCTGCGCTGGTCGTTTACCGACCATGCAAGTGCATAGCTGCCCGGTTGCTGCCTTTGTTCCACTCGGCGGTGACGATGTTGCCGCTACCTAGTCACGGCGTGAACTTGGTTTTAACCATAGACCTTATGTTTAACGAATGGTTTTACCGATAACGATTTTATATATTTGACGTCACCCTGGCAGTAAAAATATGGGTACGGTAATGCACTTTTCTAGGCCACATGTTCATTTTTAATCGTGTTGAATAAACTTTTTGTTTGATGGTGTTATCACCTCATGGTGACCTGCTACGATAACAAGCCGTAATTTTCACAGTTGCACCTTAAAACAATGAACCAGTTACCCTGAGCACGATGAATCATCTTCGGAAGTGTTGGCCTGTTTTGTAAACAATTCTTTGTCTGGGACCATGCAGGGCGCACAGGAAATATAACAGGGCGCTGACAATTTAAAGAGGGCGCCAATTTCAGATAACAGGGCGCGGCGCCCTGTAAAAAACCCTGGTGGAGAACCCTGAACTATAAAGAAAATACAAGCATGATGAACAATTTTACATATGAATGTATCATAATTTCTATTTCATATAGTTTTTAATAATTTCTTGAATTCCAAATGAGATAGATCAAACAGATTACAGCATCTTTCTATAATAGAGTTGGCATGATTAGCTAAACCATGTGTTTTTGACTACCATACCTCCTTAGCTGTTAACGGTAGACAATTACTGTAAATGAATGTGACATGTTTTGGCAATCAGTCGATTTTAAAAATTAAATTCAAATACGCAGAAGGTGTGGCATCTACAATACTATGGAAACAACCAAACACACATTTGTCTAATTTAATTCAAGGCGACCCATACACAGAAAGCAATAATAATTAAAATACTTACATCTATATGCCCATTGAAAGCAGCATGATGTAAACTAGTGCGTCCTTGACGATCACTAACGTTGACATTCGTCAAGAGTGGAATAATCGCTTCAGCACATTTCACAGAATTGTTAGCAGCAGCAACATGTAGCGGTGTCTGCCAATTCTTGTCTCTCGCATTAACATCAGCGTTGTGTTTTATCAATACCTTTACAACATCCTAAAAAGTAATAATAATATTAACATAATAAGATTCAGGATAGTTACGATAGAGGTATTTTTTAAAAATTTTTGTTATAATTTCTTTGTTAATTCTAGAGTAAATGAACATACTTTTTTATTGGCTAAATTTTTTATCAAACTATTATGTATATCAGTTTTAAATATTAATATCAGCATTGTGTCTATCGTCAAAATATTTCATATTGTAACAAGTCATTGAAAATGTTCTCTTTGTGCTCGTCATATTAAAGTGGAGGATTGTCGCGAGCGTGTCCTTGAAACTTGAGTTCCAAGTGGCGTATACAACAGATTGTTTATTTACATCAAAACACGTGTTCTGTGTAGTAGTAATATGACCAAAAATAAAAACAGCCATCTTTGATCTGATTATGAAACACACTGATATGTATGATGTATGTGCCAAATACGAATAAAAATGGTACATAAATTGTGGAAATATAGTAGTAAGGCCAAAAAGTCAGATGGCTGTCAATCGCCCATCTTTGACCGGATTTTGAAACAAATTGTCATGGACATGCATCCTAACATGTATAAGGTACATGTATGTGCCAAATTTAAATGAAAACTGACAGAGCACGTCCAAAATACCGCATAAAAAAACAAAACAAGATGCCTGCCAGTCTACCATCTTTGATCCAATTGCGAAATAAATCGTCTTGGG